TTGACTTTCAAGTCACGGGTTCTTACACTGTAAGCGTTTACAGCGCGAAGAGAAAAAATTTCGAAGCCTAGAATATTGCAAATTCCGTCATTTCGCAAGTACTATACCGGAAATATTCTGAATTTTGAATCGGTTTGCTGATTGCATTATTAACTGTTTCCTTTAAAAAGATTTTTAATTTTCTTTTGTTCATCACTGTACCTTTACACTTCAGTATTTTACTATCTTACATACTGAATTACATCAATTTTTAATATTAGATTCTGTATAATTTATTATATTATAATATGTAACTATCTTACATCCTAAAAATCAATTATTCTTAATGTTAGATTCTGTATTTTTGTTATATGTAGCCTAGTCTTGTAATAGTACAAGATTAAATTCATCTTCGCTTGATCTGACCCCGCAACGAAAATCCAATAAACGCTTTAGAAATAACTTTATGCCACCATTGTCGAATCTGAAATAACGTCGGAGACGTCAGAGTCGTGGCCGAATTGTACATAAGGATCTCATTGATATTTCAAGATGTACCCTTTTTTTTATCCTAAGTGAATACACGAAGAGTTTAGAAAATTTTTCGGCGATTGATATTGCTATCAACGTTTTTAGGTCATCATTTAGGTTGCCACGTAAAATTGAATGGCGACTGAAAGTTGCCTTTCGAGTGTAAATAGTTACTACTTGTTAGACAGTTGCATCTTTACCTCATTTCTTTTTTAATGAAATACTCAAATTTTCCCTTTCAGTATATCCTGTATCCTTGGGGATTTACGTCCAAGGTGCCTTCGAACGAACCAGAACTGGTATGTAACACTCTGATCGTTTTATTCATACGAAATTACATACACAGTCTTCATTTTATGATTGTCTACAATGATTTGTACATTTTTAGCGTAACCTTGCTAGCAGTTTCGCTAAAGCTATCGCCAAGTCGCGTAGGACTCAGTACACTTATGGAACATCTGCCAATCATCTTTGTAAGTAACGAGATCTAATGAATCACTTCGCTTCGTTTTGACACGTTGGTGTTAATTAAACAATTGACATAAAGCTATTAATCAAAATATGTAATTTAATCGTGTAGAAAGGATTATTTTTGTATAGAAATATAGAAAAATATTTGTTTTACTGATTAAAGCGTAGATATTAGATTTAATGCACGTGTTTGTAAGAGATGCTTCAAGAAGCATTGTAATTTTTTTTTGCAGAAAATATTTAGCTTATAATTATTTCAGAATGATCTGAAGTGACTTTATCATTCGAAGAATTACTTATTCTTCGTTAGGTTTCTGCACTGTGTTTCATTTCATTATTTTCTCTGTGCTTTTGTTACAAAATAATTAGATCCTGCTGCTGGAGGTAGCGACGACTGGGCCATGGGAAAAGCAGGAATCAGTTTATCGTACACCTTCGAGTTACCCGGAGGAAATTCTGGATTCCTGTTACCTCCTTCCGAGATCAAAGCTGTTGGCACTGAGACATTCGAAGTTATCAAAGTGATTCACCAATACATCACTTCGAAACACTGACGAACACTATCGCGCCAATGACACCCAGTATCGTCGACTGTACGCGGATGTATCTTCATCCTGAATCGTTCGATACAAACTGTACAATCTTCCTACATTTACTAACCATAAAATAAATAAAAAATTAAGAATTTATTCAAAAATTTCTCTATCTTGTACGAAGCTCGAGTTTCCTCGTATGCAATCCAAAAGAATAGCTCTAACCCTTTTAGACCTGGCGACCACAATTGAGGACATAAATAAGACTCATACATTACTGACACTATCGTTTAGGGCGAATTTCTTTATTTGTGCACATGCAGAAAGACCAGTTTTCCTCGAAAGCTACACTATTAGGATTTTTTTTTTTATTTCTTCCATACTAATCCAAATAGTCCAAATTAACTCTAAAAATTGAATTACATTAGTACGAGAAATAAAATAATTCAGGTGTGAAAAGGATAAGAAGAGCTGATCGGTTTCAGAACCTATAATCGTAGAACCGATACACGACTGCTTCGTTCGATATGGGTTATAACAGTTTCGATCTATAAATGTTACAACATCCTTCCGGTTCTCATAACTATTTCAGTTTGAACTATTAGTATATAACAGTTTGGAACAGTTATTCTTGGAACCTTTTCAACCTCTTTCCAGCCGCTGAACTGTCTTCAGAAGGAGATAAGTCGACTTTTCTTGGGTCACTGAAGGCATTGCGGCAGCCTCCGTCACCTTAGTCACCTCAGTCAACGATTTCAAGGAATGTTCAACTCCCTAGCAGACCAGGGGGAATGGCTCGTTATACAAAAATTTTACGACCCAGTGCCCTCAGCCCCGTCAAATGAGCTCTCGTCTCCACTCGAGTCCACGGCTAATGAGTCTGTTGTTTCTCCAATTAGACCGAACGCGAACGCGGGAAATAGGTATAAGCGAAAAGGAACTTGGGCACGATACTTCTGCGCTCTACGTGCTAAGTATTCTACTCCATTCCGACCAAATCCTCGAGCCTCTCTTTTCGTTTCCCCAGCCACTCTCGCTTTCGCGCAACGTCTACCTAAAACTGGAGGAAAAACTAAAGTGGTCGACGCTGGAAGGGCCGCAGGACCGAACAATAGCTGTTTCCCCTTTCACGTAGGCTTCTTTCGAGTAAACGTTCGCTCCCGTACACCGAGTCCTCGTAGATCCGCAATCTTTTTGTGGAACGTTTGGTGCGAGTTGTTGTCGGTCAACAGGAAACTCGGCGGAGGTTGCTCTGATAAGCAGCGCTCCTTACGGAAACATTGGGTTGGCCCATAATTTCTTCCAGCTTTGTTCTGTGTATATATTCTATGTATAATTTCGTCTTTCGTTCAAATATTTCATCAAAAATTAATATCGATCATAAAAAAACCAGGTGAAAGCTTTAAATTTATAACTTTATCTCAGTTTTGAATCCGCATGCAAAAAGGTTCAATAAATCACCGAACGCATTAAAAGACGTAATGTACTTTATTCAGATGATAGTGATCCATAAAACATTGTTCATATATATAATATATATATATATATATATATTTATAGGACTATATAGAACAAATAACTCTCGTTTCTAGAATCTAATCGTAACTTAACATAGATAAATGTATCCTCTTTTCATACGAAGAAAGAACGCAGGAAGAAAAGCGGCCGAGGTTTCTCTCTTTCTCGAGTACACCTCGATCGACGTGTCGTTTGTTCGATCCTTTCTCATCCATTAATGACCCTTCCCTTAGTTGCGTCGTATTTTACGGATATACTCGGTGATACGGATAAACTATATAGACCACTCGGAAGATATGCTCTTTAGTAAATGATTAACGTAGCTTAATCTACACATCACTAAGGGGTATGGTAACGTATCTCTTTCGCCAAGTAAGATTCTATCTTGCCTTCTTACCGCAATCGGTGCTTCGCAGATCTCTCGAAAGTTCAACGAAACACTCGTTCGGTTCGATACATTGAAACATTCGTCGAACTGCCGCCCAGTCGATCTCGCGCATGCGATTAGAATGTATTTTCAGGGGCGCGTGGAAGATGCTCGATAAACAACAAACTGAGAGGACGATCAGAGAAACGCCGAATGGAATTCCTTCGTGAAACGTTCGCCAAAGAATGCGACGACGATGACGTTTATCAAATGTACGATTAAGAAAATCACAAAACGGAAACAGCATCGAAAGAAATTGCAGAAAAATACAATTAATCTTAATTGTATACACGAAGTCGCAAGAAATGATTGAACTCTTTGTTGCGATTCAAAGATCGTCTTCTGTATAAAAACTTTGGCTTGGCAGTTACGTTGACAATTACTATCGATACCACGCGCGAAACCATGCTCGTGACTCGACAAAACAGGTTCAGTTCTGTGTCTTCTAATGATTTATAAAATATCTTCAGTACAACAAAATTCGGTAAAATTCGTTTTACTATTTGCAATGATGCATTTTGTGATTTCCTTGGGTTTTTAAGAATTACTAGACTAAAATTTCTACTTCTCATGAGAGACGAGCCCGGTACTTGTTTCAGAAAATTACATTCTGTTCATGATATTCGTCATTCGAACGAAGTTGTCTGTCGTTTTGCTGCTAGAAATTCGAAAATGACTGAACACTCGGGGGAGGATTTTAATATGCGGTGAAATTTAATAGATTAAGTCTATGCTTCTGATAGGGATGCCTCTGTGTAGACCATCGGATCTTAGGGGTTATTTCTAAAGGTACATCCTGTCGTATGAACCATATTTTTGTCATAATGACCAATTATTTCAATTGAATCTTTATTACGTCATTTTTTACAGGTCCGAACTACCATTTTATAGAAATAAAAATTGTCTACTTTTCCTGAATCTTCAAGCTGGTGTTACCTCAGATGCATTCCTCTCACAAGGGGACTTCCCAATATCACTGCCAACATTTAAATGAATTTATGCACAGTGATTGAGCTTCAAATATTGAAGATGATCACATACGTACTGTTTGTGATGCTTTTTGTATAAAACAATACTTGTAAATCACCTCCCTTCGAAACTGTGTAATTTTAGAATCAATTTTTGTTTTATTTTATGACTCGGTAAGGTAGAACATTCGGTCGATAAGGGAGGTCGTTCTGTTCATAACGTAGAACACTCTGTTGATAAATTTTTCGATCAATCAGGGCTCTACATTATTTAGCCTTACCAACAGTATACACTACATTACCAATAGTTAGTCAATTACCATTCTCAATTTCGATGTACTGCTATTATTCTAATGAATTTTTACGATATTACAGATAAATGCCTTCTGAAACTGTAATTTTGTTTTAGACTATTTTAATTGGAAATATTGAAAAATATATATCAGACTCCTACATTATCTTCAACGTTTCTAGCATTATTACTGTACATGAGCTTATTCTGATATCAGCAGATCAATTGTAGAAGTCTTCTCGCCAATCGTCAGCTATAGGTAGGCTGTATTGAAAATCCCATTGAAGAAAAGATCAATGATTTAATTACAATCGTTCTAGGGCTGCCGAAATGGTCTGTAATTTTGTTCTGATCATACTCGTTTAATTATGGCATAGAAATACGGTGAAATTCCTGTTCCTCGATGCGGGAGTTATCACCGTGCGGATATTAAAAATATATGCGAATACGCGCACGGTTAATAAACGATAATGAACGGTAGGAAGAATACAAGTATTACGTGTGCAATCATACGTCCATTTCATGTCCAATAACCCATGAATTCGCTGCTCTTATCGATACGATGCACGAGTTTTGCGATTCGCTGTCTGGCTATTTCATGCCGTGCCTATTACGATGATTATATTACAACGTTACAATAATACATACGCGTAATGAATTACATAAATTATACGTATACATCTACGGTAATAAATATTGTTAGTGAAACTGTATTACGGGTAAACTTCGCGTACTCGTTGTCACGCGATCCTGTAAAACTGGTGCTCCTTATAAAATATAAATATGAAAATGTTCACTGGCACTCCTCACAAAGCGAAGTCTTTGTACCTTGGAACCACAAGACATCGACGATACAGCGTTTCGTTCGGAATTTTTAATCACTTTTCTATTATTTCGACACATTTTTAACTTCCATTTTTTAATGACCAATATTGCCAAGAAAATATCCCCACAGACTGTTGTTTCAAGGTACAGGTATATTAGTCAGACATCGTACTCGTTTATTCGCATTTACCGCAGACACTTTGCTTTTTACGAAACCTGTACATTAGATTATATATTCATCGTAAAGGGTTTTTTTTAATCAAAGAGATAGAGAATCGAAGAATTTAGAAATATCTAGTGCTCGCAAAAATCGGTATGGAGTGTTCAGTTAACATAAATTGTTGGGCGAAATGTAATTCATATTTATCGTGTTTGTTATTACTGTCCTCGGAATAATAAAAGAACGTTTCACGCATGTCGAGCAAGGAATAAATATTTGAGTGCAATTTTCTTGCATTGATTTATGGTATTTTTACTTCATGACGTTGTCGTATGAAAATTCAATTGAAAATTTATTTATATAAATCTTTATTCCATTTGTGTAATGTCGTAAGTGCAACGCACGAACGAAAGTGATTAACTACACTCGTTCCAATTTTTGCGAGATTGATTGTTAAAAACTTCGATCTTCTCGTCAGATTAATCTGTATATGAGAGAGAAATGGAAACCACCTGCGGTCTGATGCACGGATATTAGCAGCCCTAGTTTTCTCTCTGTGCCGCCAAAGTATCATCGATCTTCGCGAATCGAGTCGAAGTGTTTTTCAACCATTCGCTGTGATTATCGCGAACGTTATTTAGTACGTTTGGAAATCGAGATACGCAGGATTCGCTGAATATTCTTTAAGGTGATTTCACGGCAATTACGAGTCAATTTCATCTCGTCGCACGCGTATCATTCATCCAATGGTTGCACTCGACCAACGATTTCTTCAATGAGACGCAAGAAACTGATCAGTGTGACGTCACGCATAGAATTGAATTTGGCTCATAATTCTATAAATTAAATACCATTGTTCCTTTCTCAACAATAATGAAATAAATATTTTTAAAAGGACAACGCTGTAGTGATGGGACCAATCCAACGTCATATTAATTAGTACCAATACTTGTCAGTTTAAATAATTTTCAATTCTGCGGAATTTCTACAGGGTGTTTCTAGAGCCTGGATACATATGAAACAAGAAGAGTTTTCCAGATATGAAATTAATTAACAACATTTCAGTCAAATGGAATATTCAATGTCCTAAACCTTAAGGACGTCTTGTAGTCTTCAAATATAGTCACTACACATCTTAAATCTGTATTCATCCACAACTATTGGGGATGGTTTTCTAGCAAATCTGAGTTTTCCTAATCAGGTGGCCAGATTTCGTTATATTCTCAAATGTATTGGCTACAGCGTGTCTCAACATTCGGAATATATAATTAGTGCGTACAATCCTTCTCTTCAAACGGAATGTTTGAACAAAGTTACTTTGAACCTACATAGATACAAGTGTCTACTGTAGGTGACTGCAGGTATCAATACCGAAGATCTCAAATCGATCGAAGACATTTCTTGGACCGCTAGTTGAGGCTTTCCGATGTAAGCCGTGTCCTTTGAATAAGGTACTCCTCAGTTACGCCAGCATTGCAGATAGCTTCTTCAGGGGTCAAATGACACACCGGTACTGGATCGATAGCTGAGCTGTCGAAACGTCGGAGTATCTCATTTAAAGGACACGACTTACATTTGAAAGCATCAATTAGTATCGACTATGAAGAGCAGAGCTATCAATATCTCAAATATCATATTTCATTGTATTTAGAAGTTTAACACTTTGAAAGTAAGCATTCGTCTGATACAGCATATTATATTTTGCTTCCTTTAATATTTGATCATATAATAATAATTTAGATGATTCGGTTCCACCGAAATGTAAAAGATTATAACGTACATATAATACAATTATTAAATAAATAAGATAGATAAAATTCGTTAATGCAAGGCAGTATAGGTGGCGGGGGGAATTTTACACGATTCAGAGCCTTCACGGAAAAGAAAAAAAAACAAAAATAATAAAAGAGTGTTAATTTTTATGGATCTTAAAACATGTTTGAGTCCCATCACTAGGTCAGTCCGTTACTGATACACGAGCTAACGAACAACTGCAGTCGTAAGAAACCCACGAATTAGATTTCCAAGTCGCATTAAAATCAGTTAGAACAATTAATAAGGGCCGAACTCGCAATAATGTATAATTAAGTGGAAATAATGAAATAAGCTCTGAGCTCTTGATCAAACTGCAAGGATCTATCTTTGTGGCAGAATTCATCGAATTGCCTCGAATTAAGCTGTGGAGGTTCTCCAGCTGGCGGTGACTTCTACCCTGTAGACCCTAAAGCCCACATCTTAATCCGACCCTGATCTCTTGCATGTCGCGATCCATGACGAAGCCAGCTGTTATCAGTAACCATAATAGATTCTGCTTCTTTTGTTTCTCATTATTATTTCTTTTCTTTCTTTTTTAAATCAGTTACGCTAATTTGGACGATGCTTGGCATTGCTCGTTTCGCTGGAGAAAAAGAAACCGCACTCATACATCATCAAAAATACACGTTTGATATGCTAATCATCTTGTTCGCAATCGATAAAACTGCGAGAATCCACGCTTTTTCACGCATCGATCCTACGAAGTCAAGCTTACATGATGGATCTTATCTACCGGGGAAATTAAATAATTCTTTCTTTCCCTTTACGATCAGTCACTGTCACCGTTTTTTTTTTTCTTTCGGCTACTACTCAGATCAAAAAGTGTCTTAATAATATCGATGGCGGTCAAACTCGACGCTAAATCAGCATCATTCGGTCAATTTGTATCGATACGATCGCAGAACCTGGGCAGAGATGAGTAAAATTCACATTTATGCAAAAAGAGCGAGTAAACGTATAGGGGATGAATTATTGTTTATCTCATAATATAAATAAATGAATAAATAAATAACTACATATTTATATCTGCATGTGTGTGTGTATATATATTATATCATATATAATATAAACATTTACTTTTAAATACATACGTATAAGAACATGACTGAATTTTAATAATAATATATATTACATAATTGACCCCGAACGTGTGAGGCACATTAGGAGTAAATAAAAAATACAAGTTAAATTATAGATCGAAATACATTTAACAAATGAAGATATATTCGTTCAGCCCAATAAACGTCACGAATAAATTATTGTAGGTAGACTTGCTTTAATTGTTACCTATTATTTCAATAAAATTTTGCTCACATCTGACAGCGGGGAACCGCTCTTCACCCGTTTACACGGGATTTAAAGCGTTTCGCGAATCCGCGAGCGGACAGTTCGATCGAATCATCCCTAATTAATTCTATGAAACGTAACGGTCACCATCTTTACGCTAACTTAAGGTTACACGAATATTTACAACGTCCTAAATGGTAATTAAGCGTTGACGATTAACATGCCCGGCCGAGAACTAACCGACTTTTATTACCGAGCTAGGAGATTTAGAGAAAGCAGACGAATTTATTTACAGTCGTACTTGTAGATCGGAGATCGCAGCTTGTTTCGCACAGGGGAAAAAGTATCGCTGCGGTTTCGGGATGTGCGTTTGTTGGAAATATTGGGACTGATCGCGAGAAGCACGAGTTTCATTCGCACGATTGTGTCAAGTAAGTTGAAGAATCTTTTCAGCTTGGAATTTTAAAAATTAGCTGACATTAGAGATTTCTTTTTTGTTAAGAATCGCATTGGACACGTCGATTCCAAACTTTGTGTGTGTATTTATTTATGTTTCACCGAGTTACAAGAATTTTTGAAAATATAAATATTCGATTTCATTGAAGTATACACGTTCGTGTACAGGTATGTACACAAAAACTCGTGTACACGTTTGGCACGATATTTCTTCCTGGTGCAAGTGATTCAGGACTTTGTAATAAATCATATTACTATATTCCTAGAACATCCCTCTACGAAATGTATACAGGGCGGGCAATAACAACTGCTGTCTGAAGTGACTCGTTATTTATTGATTTTAGGACAAATCGTTTCACATGAAATATCCTGTGTTCGCTGGAGCTCGTCGCATGGAAGCGTTTGACTATCTCCATGTTTATTTTGTAGTAAATCACAATAAATGATAAACACAGAGAATCCGTCATTACTAGGATACTATATTAAAATCTTCTTTGTTCAAGGAAAGTAAACAGAAACAATGTACGTTTTAAGGATTATGTTAGATCGTTTATAACGTAGTAGTACTATAAACCAATTTTAGGTCATTTCATAAAATGGAAAACATAAGATAAAAATGAACCAAACATTACATATGTACATCATACACAACTCTTTTCACTAAAATCGATAAATGTCATGTTATTCCATGCGGGGTCATGATTGACTTACTCTGTATCGTGGGCAGGCAAAATTGCACCGAATGCATACAGAATAAAAAAAGGACTTCTACGTTGAGTTGTTTCAAGTGCAATCCAAACGTTACAAGTCTCCAGTGTTGTTCCTCTCTCTCTCAAGGATTGCTTTCAACATTACAAACTTTTTAAAAATACACTGTTCGTAGAGGATTGTTTAAGAAACAGCGTGATATTTATCATTACAGTGTGACATATAGTCTGTTTACAGTATTAGAATTCTTGGCATCAATACATAAACACAAACTATTTCCAACAATTTAAATTGATCTCTTTTTTGGGTGGGTAATTATCACGAACATATTATTGCAATTTTAAAATTATTTGTTAAGATTTTCAAGTAGCACCCTTTTCCAATCAAACAAAACTTGATTTTCCTGCTAAATTCAATTTTTTAAGTTATGGCCATATTTCACAAAACACTCAATATATAAAATAGAATGGGATCAACAGCGATTTTCTGGTTGGAATATGTTAAACGATTTATTTATATCAATATTCATTTGATCGTAATCCGTTTATGGTATTTTTCTCATAACCAGAAAATCTATATTAATTCATTTCTGTTTAAAAAATACATCAAAGCCTACTCTTTATCCGGTCCACTGCACTGATAACCTGTTATTATCTGATAACGAGAATTTGATTTTGTTTATGAAGAACTGCAAAAGTACTTTTATTTATACATACACGAGTGAACTAGTACTTGGCTTAAATAACAACTGGTTGTATCTATAGAAGCTACTAAGTTTTTTGATAAGAAGCTATGACATCTAAATCGTATAAAACTTCCTTAATATGGATTTCTTCTCTTAAGCTCTTGATTCTCGATTAGATTAGAAATGTTCAAAATTTGAGAGAAACGCAATCTCCTTGGCGAGCAACAATATTTTCCTCACTGTACGAAAAGTGCTATGCTGCGTCTTCGGCAGGCTACTTGCAATTTTCATAAAACGCTACCACATAAACGGACGGCCTGATTTTCACCTATTTCTCGACGACGTTAGAAAAAGAATCCATTAACGTTGCATCCTCTACTTAAGAATCATCGTGACTATTTGAAATCCTCAAAAGCAAAGCAAAATTGTGCCGCGATTGCGGTTCGTCTAACAAAGAGCATGTGGCAGCCTCCATCTCAACAAAATTGCTATAAAATGGAGTTACTATAAAATGCAATTACAATAAAGAAATTGAAAAGAAATTGAACATTGATATCTAAAACATTTAAGTTAAAGATGATAACACTCGCCCCTATTTATTATATCGTTTAATTATCAATTGAAGATTTATCACTTTTAGGACTAGAGATTGGCAGTTGCTCGACTCGATTTCCACTCGGGGAGCAACTCAGAAGCGACAGTCTTTGTTTATCTTAGATTACGTTGAATCTGGAACTGTTCATAGCGACATTGATTCATAAATATGCTCCTAAGCTGGAAACTTGTACACTTTGAAGTGGTTGTAAAATACTTTAATTCCACGACTCTCCAATCATGGTAGAAGAAGGGTCTAGTCGTCTAAATTGTTAGCTCTTTGTAATGAAACTGTCGTCGAGTGCAAAGGGTTAAAAATTAACAGAAACGAGCACTGCCATCTTTAACTAAAAAATTTTAAATATCAATACTTAATTTTGTTCAGAGTCTTGAAATATTTGGAGCTGTCCCTGATTTTCGTCGAGAGTGTTAAGCACACGTTCAAGATTAGTTACGTATTAATTTAAAGTAACAATCATATTTACTATTTACGAAAATTAATTAATCTCGATCGATTCTAGTCTTGAGCGTTACAAGAACGTGTATTTTTAAGCGTCTTTTTACCAACGAAAGCCATGTACAAACAAACATCAAAGAGTACACTCTTTCTCAAAAGTATACGGTCGTCCGGAGTTAATATTCTGTACACGGCTCTCAAAGTTATAAACTCACCACTCCACGGCAATTTTATTGAAATCGGCGCCCGCCACAACCGGCTCTGCCTTTGTAAATGTTGTATTTATCACAGACAAGGAATACCGTGTACTCAGTAATTTCCGAGCGTTCGATCGCTCGGAATTTTTCACGCGACTAGGATTCCCCTTAGCGTATCCCTCAAACGTTGCCGGAAGTCATCGTGTTCGGCCACAAGAATTTTTCGAACGCGGAAAACTCGAAAGGCGTTCGCAACGAATGAAAAGACGGAGCTGGGTCGAGGCGACGTAGGAGGGGATGGAGAGAAAAAAAAAGCCAGGAATCGGTACTTTCTTCTGAATGGAAGCTCGTCGAAAGCGATTCGTCTTCTGCGCTAAGTTCTACGAGAAAAAGAGAGAAAAACGGGATTAATCGATAAGACGGACGCGAACGAAGGCGAAACGCTTTAAATCTTTCCCGTTCGTCGAATCCTCGGAACGGTTCGCGATCCATCGATACCAAACTTGCCAAAACAGGTCCCGGATCTGGCATGAGACGACCCTGAATTATTTGTTAGGCATTTAAGCTATATACAGACGGGTTGTGTTTATCCTTAAAGGAGATCGATATGTCTCGTTGGTGGCGTTGGTTACAGGAATCCCCCGGACAGGGAGAACACCGTGTTCCAATGACTAATTCTTTCTCGACTTATTCCTTCGCGGAGAGGGATCCATTAGTCAACGCCATGACTGGGCCGGAACTTCCCCTCGAGTTCGTGTCAGAGTTGAGTTCCAAGGACGAGTCCTGTAACGATACAAGGTGAGAGTATACGTGAACGTGGGTGTGCAGAGGTCCTATGGAAATTGTTAAAAGCTTTTCTCTTTCTTTTTTTGACAGCTGAGTGCCTTATGGACGAAGCTGAGTTAAGGAGTCCTGCGTGTGTTATCAGCTGTGGTGTAGGAAAAGAACGACGAATGAAAGAAGAGAATTAATACGCGGTAATTAAGTTTTAGGAAATATTAGTTCAAATGCATATACAGTATCTTATATAGATTACATAAAACAGACATATCATATTTTTTGTGTTCCACTGGAAAACAAAATACATTTGTAATTCACATTGTATTGTTAACTGTGGGCATCTTAATGGACTCCAACGTAGCTGGCTGTTGGAAGTGATCATTCCATGATCGTTTCCATCGCGGCATTATCGTAAAGTCATTGACGTGCCAGTATTCGGGCACGTTGTAACGCGAGACGAAAGGCTTCCTTCCCGTAATAAATCACACAAGGACCGAACGTTCTCTCGCCTTGTGCCATTTCGGTTTCGTGCTCACCGAGACAATCGTTGCCAAATGGTTTCGCGAAACTGTCGTATTCGCGTAATCACCGCGCGTAAAAGCGTTATAGCTTCCACGATCGAGCTTAAAGATTTCTGCGATGGGCTTTCATTCGTCGACGCGATACACGCTTGAAAAGTTTCATTGCACATTTACCGTCTTTCACATTGGGAATCGCCAAGTAATTCTTGTGAAGGATTGATTAATAACAGACAGAGACGCGTATTGTCATCTTTAACTAAAATCTTTAAATATCAATGATTAATTTTGTAATGTGTCTTGAAGTATTTGGAGATTTACGTGATATTTTTACGTTTTTAGCTAGATTCGAATAACTACGAGTTGTACGATGTGTTGTTATATGATTGTTTTCATGTAAAAAAATATTGTCACTCATTTTGTTCAAATTCATGTTGACGGTTTACAGAAGGCTTATTATATAACAGTTAAGAACACTATACGTATGCATGTCTTCGTTTGTATGTATATTAGGTCAACATTTTATGTAAATAAGGACGGAGAAGCTTATGGAGCAGGATAACATTTTGTGGCTAATGTGGTATTTCTTCTCTTTAAATTTTAAGAGGATTTGATATACGCTTTTTGTGGAGATTAAGGGATACATTCAAACGGGATAACGTACCTCTCGTAAGCTGTCTATACGAACTGAATATTAAACAAGTAATTCTGTATTAAATATGGTATTAAATATATCGCATTTTTGTCATTTCTGATGTTTTGTTTACTTTCAACAAGGTTTTTAATCATTCCTGAATAATACAGGCAAATGAAGATACTGGAAATCAAATTCTAAGACAACAACTTTAAAAAAATAAAAAACATCGATAAAATGATTACCGATTGGGATAAAACGGATTAAAATATTATTAAAGATTTATGAAAGATAGATGTCTAAAGTCAATTCGAAGTTTTATTTAAAATGTTTATGATTCGTTAGAAATTATTCTATAATAATTGTAGTATTTTTAAATGTTTTCCATTATGTGAAAGTACAATATTTTGATCTTATATATTAACATATGCACGATGAGAGTTTACGATGTGCATAATTGTTAATAAAAGTTGATTGTGAAAGCTTGCTTTTTAAGTACATATTCTACCATTCGATTAATTTTTCGACGATTTTCAAGTCGTATACGGTTATTGTGTGGAATACACTGCCAAACTGGAAGCAATTTTATACAAATTAATACGTTTACTTTCGATTTAATTAAGCCCGATCGAACCGGTACTGAGTGTAAAATTAGTAAATGCGTAATAATGAAATAAAGGAATTTAAATGGATTTTAATTACCTCGTTCGGATACCCGAGTATTACATTTCAACAAACTCCTCGTAATAAATGTAACGTAAGTTAACCCAATATTTCTGTCAAATTTGATTACCTCATATTCGTTTTCACTTCTGTAAAGAATTTTAATGGAACGGTATATTGGTTTCAAATTTTTAAACATTTGTATAATCAATTTTGAACATTTATAAAAATTGAAATATTTATTTAAACAAATTAAACTGGTCAAAAAAAGAATACCCTCATGAAAATATGGTACTTGTACTTACAATGCTGAGAGCGTGCATGATGCATGATTGCGTGGTGTTTTCGACATGCATCAATTCGTCGCATTCCTCGTGATCCAATCCGTTCACATCAGATCGTAGTTTAATTGGTGATAGAGCTGCCTCGTTGTCTGTTGATTTGCCACTGTCGGGAGATGGTATTAATTCGTGTCCGTCCAAATCCTCTTCTTCGGCGCGTTCTTCGCAGTCGGACGCTTTGGTTTCCTATCAACAAACACGGGAACAATCGATTACGCTCAACGTTTCAATAATATTTGTATCTAGATGAAAATTTTGAAACAACGAATCGAAAAATAAATACCTATTTATCTGTCTCAATAAAAATAAAAATAATATATTGTCTCTTTTATAACCAAAACAATAATCATAATAATAGTAATAATACTGTAGTCGAGGATTATCATATTACGATTTTATTCACTCGAGGGTAACATTAAATTCATATTAAATTCGGTCTTTTTAATTCGAAAGGTCTATATGCGGGTGGGTAAAAAATGAGGAGTCTGAATATATCCGAGGAATTGGAAGTGCACGGTCAATTGAATTCACCAAGTTGACCTATTTCATGTTCCTTTCGCGATGAAATAGAACTGCAGCAGGTGACACTGTTCCACTGATGTGTGTCACAATAGTGATAAGTTAAGCTGCTAGCTCCTGTATTTTTCTCTACTTGCTTTCATTCGGCTGGCTGACCAAACCGGACCTATTCTACTTCCATTTTTGCTCGTGCTACGTTTCGTTCAATCCTCGCACAGTTTTCGCGTTGATAATTCAGTGTGCACATGCTTCTAAGGAAGAATTATTCACCAGGCGTGTTTTAAAAATAATATAGCTATATTTACGTAATTCGATGAATTAAATAATTTGATTATTTATTCGTCATTTCAGAAATAAAAAAAAAAGGAATAGTATTTAGCAATTGTTTTATTTATCTTGTGCAGAGAAGATATTTTAAACAATTGTTCAACCTCATTAAAATACCTAAAACCTTATAATTTGAAAAATATTTATGATTGATCGCAGAGTTAATTGTTTTATTAAGTTGATCTTCGATAAAGGAAAAAATAAAATTTATTAAATATATTATCTAAGCGTTGAAGGAACTGTTAAAAAATGAATTATATAATGATACCATACAATAATACAATAATATAAGAATGCATAAGATATAATATATAATGATATAAAAATTAATTGTATAAATGAATTATATAATAATCGTCATCCAGAAGGAAGAAAGTATTATTAGTTAACAATGAAACATTTATGATAAGGTCGAATTCAGTAAAATTAATATAAAGCCCAATTCTTCGAATCGTTGACAATAAAAATAATAATGGGGCTTTCAAGACCTGGAATTCGAAATGAAGGTTCCTGGTTCTTGATAGGTCAATCCGTATAACTTGTTCGTGCTCTGGAGTTGACATATCGACAGAGAAACATATGATGAAGTAATATTTTACCAAGTTGCCTACGCCGTTTCCGGCGACGACAGGCTGTCTTTCTTTTGTTACGGAATTTCGTTCCAGTCCCGAAGACTTGTCTTAAGCGCCGAGCTTGACGATATTACTACTTACTACTTTTCTTCTTCACAGAGGGGAATTCATATTGTTTAAATTGACTGCCATTGCTGGAACTATTGCTATCCGGTCAATAGACTAGTGTTCTTATTTTACGTACTTTTAAATAATTTCACGATCGATGTTCAGCATTTGTAGGAAATATTCAGAGGAATGAAAAATGTTAGAAACTGATTTGAAATACTGGAGAAGCAGTATTGTCTCAAAATAGTTTTGCCTTGGAAATATTAATACTTTTACTACGAATCTCATCGACATTATCAAAGTGAATACTAATTATTTTTGTTAAAATCGAAGAAATAATATTTTTAATGGTATGTTCAAGAGAAATTTAAATGACAAACGTAGCCACGAATGAACACTAGAGGTGACATGTTTGCAAGAAATTATTCAGACTTTGTATAATATATGTAAAAGAATAGAAAGTAGTTTTACATAAGTTAAGGTTTTCATATCACGTCGTGAATTTTCTTCTTCTGGAGTTATCCACCACGATAATGAACCAAGAAGTCATTCGCGCGTTATCACACGAAGAACAAGAGCATTAAAAAAGTTTAAACTGTATCGAGAAAGTTTTCATCGAAAGACATCACAAGATGAAGCAATCTTCACGATTCCTGAATATTTAAAATACATTTCGTTATGAATTCGGGATGATCATCTGTCGGAAATATATTTTACGAAAATTATTTTTACTATTCCACCTAGAAGAAAGACAAGTTTTGAGCAAACTTTGGTTGCCAAAGAAGGCGTTTTAAGCTTCCTTGATTAAATAAAATCACTGTTTATTTACTCTTCCTTCATTCTATTTATAGAATAGAATTTTGAAGTAAATTCACGAGTTCACTTCGAGGTGGTAGAGAGACAAAGATTTGTAGGGTTTGATAATTAAACAAAAACAACGGACGAAGGGGAGAAAATTGTGGGAGAAAATTGTGGGAGAATCTTATCACGCGAATGAGAGAGGAAAACTCCATTGTTGGTTTGACGTTTTGACTATCCCCGTAACCGGAACCGGAAATACATCAAGAATTGAAGCTACGCGAATAGAAGGCATCTTGTTTTATTTTCAAACCCTTTCAGCTGGGCTTGTTCATTCCGATAAGACTACTCACTCATCGTTCGCAGCTTCGCTTTTCGGCTAACAAAAATAACGAAATAGAAAATCCATTGAAGCGAAATTACTTTTCCTTTGGGTGAATTCAATATCCGTGCTGCGTATAATATGCAGAAGAAGGTTGCCAGAATCGTATCACTCAAGGTATTCTATTTTACACTTCCTGCACGATGACATTTTGTGTGCAAAATGATATTGAAAATAGCAGCTAAATATTTGAGAATCTTATTATGTGTTACATTTAGTTTCATTCAATTGTAAAATGAATTTAACTGCTTACACTTTACTAATACTTCAACAGAATAGAAGCGAGAATTAAATTAAAATTTTAAATAATTTTATTCTCTTTAGTATGCGTAATAAAATTCTCAATATTTTTTAATTTAAATTGATTTTTTGCATAACAACAAAGCTGCAATGAAACGTACCTGAAAGTCTTGCGGTGACGGTGATGATTCTTTCTGATGCTGGGTGGGACTTTGGGGTGGACTAGGCGCAGATCTTGGACTTTGAGGCCGAGTTCCCAGCTCGTAAATGTTGATCATGTGAGCCGCCTGAGCGTGAACCATCAGTTCCCATGCTGATGGGAAAGATACTTTGCAGAGAACGCAGAGCAAAGCTGTCGTGGAATCCCCTTTGGACATAAAGTGTTTACGCTTGTAGTCACTCTACTACTATAAATACACGAATCATCTTAATTCTATGATCAAACGTATCCTAATATATGATTTCATCCTAAATGTCATTTATCAATACGCTGGCTGGCAGCGTGTTTATGGTGACACGTTCAGTATAAATAGCTTAGATGTCATTCAAGCATTAATAATACGTTTTAGACGTTCCATTCAAATAAACGTAAAAATGTAATACGTCTATTTAATACGTTATTTAATTAAAGATAGAATCATACAAAAGAGCAACGATTTTTATGTTTGGATCATGATGAGAGTCTTTATAACAGGTTCTTTATTGAATATTACTTTGAAGAAGTAAAGAAAACAAACAATCTTTTATTGTCTAATTCCAATATAGTATGTGGATAAAATATTGATAATTCTAGGTAATTCAAACAGTTTGAACTGAAATTGTTGAACATTTGGATCTTCTTTGTGGATCCTTTTCAAGAATGAAATGATTGTATTGATTGTACATTCAACAACGATATATTTAGCCTCTCTTAATTATTTCTCACTGACTTTTTGATATACCAGCATAAACTTTATTTTCTAGCATTGCTCGCTTCGTTCAACGTTCCTCGAGCAACCGAAAATCCTTTTGCTCCGATCGTTCAAGGCACACCTCGTTTTAAACAAACCTAAACGGTCGAAAATATTTTCCACGAACCAGATTCGATTCCTCGATCCTAAACAAACCGTTAAGCGGTCACTTCCAGTAACGCAGCTGCGTTACCCGATAAAACGCCAAAATACAATTCCCCGTGGAAAAGGAATCGTAACGCTGTGTGGAATCACTTGAAACAGTTCGAATTTCATTTTTACACCTGCTCTGTTCAACGTGACATCGATGACACCTGTGCAAATGGTGACAACAAGCTGGACAAGGGTGTACAGAAAGTTCCTAATGGAAACTAAAAAAAAAGGAAATTCATGATACTAACACATAGTTACGCGTGTTTCAAAACAAGGAAATTTATAGGGTGACCAGTTCACTACAGAACACATCATTTACAAGAACATGCTATATAAAATTGAGATTCCGAGTACAAAAATTTATATGTAGCTCGTTTTCAGTACTACGCTATCGAATATTCATTATCAGTTTCAAAATTGATCAGCCAACAATTGTAATGCAAAGATTGTCGAAATTCTGTAAAATTTTTACACAATAGCGAACATAATAATGAAAGCTTCAACTCCCCCGGGGTTTTGGCTACAAACACCCTGCATTATGGGCCGAAAACAATGGAGATGGCAGCATATTTGTCTGCTTGCACATTCAATAGTGGATATGTACCACGTTTGAAAATAATGAACGTACTGGGATTTGTAGATCCGCGAGCAAAAATGTTTGCAGAGAGCATTGTCCATAACCACACTGGTAGCGCCAAGCAACAAGCTATGGGAATGTTTAATTGTTATATGGGCCTTAACTGATGGACCAGAAATGAAATTTTATATACATGAATTTCTTTTCGTGTATAATTATCAACGCGTTTTTCGTGAATTTAATAAAAATTAATGTCAATATATCACACTGGAAAATATATGAATAAAATAATCAAATCAAGAGTAATTATAATCTGGTTTCATTTTTCTGTTTTCTGAATGAATGCAATATAACTTCTATACCTATCGTCAAGAGAGATAGAAACTTCATGTACACCCTGTACTTTGCAATGGACTGCGCTCTCGAATTCCGACGAAAGTCGAGGCTTTATTGGAAAATTTCTTAAAGGCTGAAGCGTCGCGACGGAAATCCCAGAATTCTTTGCGAAAGAGCAACTGGATCGGTCGATGAGACGCGTTCGAAACGGGACTGCCTCGAACTTTTCTTTCAAGTACATACTTGGGGCCGTTCCGTTGAAGGTGTGACATTTACATGTAAACCGCAGCTTGCAGTAATTTCGCTTGTGCTCGAGTAGCTCTCCAAGGTCAGTAAACATTTCTCTGCAGTTGCCGCAGATCAGTATGTCCGGGTTGCCTGAAACACACAAACAGCGATTCGATTTTCAATTAATTTCGACTTAACCGTTGTTCGTCGAGACGGGAATTCGTCGTTTCAATCTGTCAATTGGGTCATTTCTCCAACAAAAGAAGGCTTTGGGTCTTAGTGCGTCACAAAACAATGAAGGGGTTTTCTGAGAAGAAAAACATCCTATCGCGGAACATCCTTAAGTATGGTACAGCAGGTGGCGGTTCGCGATCAGTTAGTTTAGTCAGTTAGATTTTCAATCTCTCTAACTCTTGCGCGAAGTCTGTAAATTTATAGCTTGAAGGTTTGGAGAGGTCATTTTAAAGCGTCGTGACGAAATTCTTAAGAGAAACACTTTGAAAATAATAAGAATTAAATATAAGAATGCAATCTTTATTTTATTCAACATTGTCATTAAATTGTCTCTTTCTTTTCTTGTTTAAGAGCAAATTCAAGAACAACAGTAATACAGAATAGGAAGTTTTCTTTCTCGAGTTAGAAAAGCTACAGATAGCCGACGTTATCGTTCGGGTAAAAGCAAAAAAATAATCAGTTAATTTCAAAATATAAATTAAGTCTGAAATATAATATTACTAAGATGACATCACGTTAAACGCCAGAGGAAGAGGGAAATCACAAAGTGCAGAAACTTCCCAGTCCTGCGTCTTTCTTTTAGCAAAACATCAACTTTTCCTGCGATCAAATGTACCTTGAATCTCAAAACTTTGCTTTAAAATAGTACCGCACAAGCTGAGCCTCATAAAGCATTACTTCCTCGAAAACTGTATGAGATAAAGATAGCATTCTTTATGCCTTAAGGCTCTCTAGGACCCTGCGCATGACGTACATAACTGTACAGCTATTGTATACGAAGTCGCTGCTCTTATTTCTCTTATGGAGAATGATCGAGTGCACTTTTCAAGAGTTTGTTTAAAAATTAACCATTGCTATTCCTCAGTTCGTTAACTGTAACTTTAAATAATACATTTTTGAGTACACAAATTATTAATTATCGTTTTACTAAATTATGCAAGAATTATGCAGACAAGGAGCAACCAAGTATTACGGTGATCATAGTGATGTGTATCATAGTGATTTAACCAAAATATCACTATGAAATGCATTTATAAATATACCATTCTCTTTTGAAGCTATTCAATTGTCCACGACGGTACGTATTTTGTTAAATAAAGAACGTGCACGATCCATACTGTTCGTTGAAATAAAATCGTTGCGTCGTTCCACTGATTCAGATGAATCACCATTGAATCGCGTGTGTTTACAACAAATTTCAATCCCATTTGGTGGATGAATTACTCTTCACGCCGTCCGTGCAATTATGTAACTGCAAAACTTTTATTTTAGCTGAAGCGTGTCCGATAATCTAAAAGTTTTTAAATGAAAACACAAATGGCGGCTTGTATTCGTGTGTCGCTATCTCGTTTCGTGACAAAAATGTTTACCAAGCTCTTCAGTTTTTACACATTCCTATATTTAAAGCTCTGCCATCCAACGGGACACACTCATGATCACAATTTCGAGCTAATGAACTGTACTCGGACCTGCCATAAGCTCCGATAAAAGTACGTTTGGCTATTGTGAACAAAATAAGAGATGCTATCTTTTTTAATCGATTGGAATTTATGTATTTCTTTTAAGTGTTTTTAAGAAAAAGTAATGGTAGTTAGTGTTGTTTTACGTTATTTTGTCAATGAAATAGAATTATGCGTAAATTCCATAGAGTACTATAGGGTGACATTGCATAGGTAAAGTTCAAGGTTTCAATGTTTGAATAATAAAATACACCAGACAAAGTGGTCGCGATGGCCATATTAATTTAAATAAATATATAAATAAATTATATAAATTATATCCATCGGATAGTTCCATATACCAATTGTATTTTATTAAAAAGAAAATTCTAAAGTCACTTTTGGAAAATCCTATACTAACAAACATGCTACTATTACCTTTTTTATTTTGCAAAATAAACTACTCATTTGTGTCTTGCATTATCTTCACATTTCTCGATGATTATTATTTCTTTATAATAGCCAAATACTTGTATCAGATCTCATTGCAGGACCATGCGTTTCAGAAGTTTCTGAATTCTTCACTCGATTCAGTCCTTTTTTACTCGGGGCATTGAAATGTTTCATGAAACATGGTGGTACTTACTGTATACTTTCAGCTGGTTCAAGTCCGGTACAGTGGCCGTGTTCGCAGCTGGTTGTTGTTTCTGTTGCTTCGGGTGCTGGGATCGAGTTGGCGGCATCAAACGGGGTCTCTTCAGTGGCGGCGCCAAACGGGGTGGAAAAGCGGTCGACGCATAGTAACTGAAAATAAACTTTGAACTGAGCACGGGAATTCTCTGGGGAATATTGAATAATTTTTTTTGCGTGTCGTGTTAGCGTTTCGATATACAGAGTGCTCGGTAAATGCGAGCGCAATCTGTCAGGGAATGATTCCTTGTGAGAATTTAGGAGCGGCTTTTGTTTATTAATAGAGAAGCTTGTAAATGTGAAAATAAAGACAAAGTTTTGGAACTCAACATAAGCACTACTTATTACGTTTAAAATATAAGTTTTAATTGTCTTCAGAACCTATAGATATGACAAAGAAATTTACATTTACTAATCAGAAAAAAACCATAATGAGATGTTTTAATTAAGATTTTTAGTGAAGTTTTAAATCGAGATTTCAGACGATATATACATTTTAAGTGAAATTAATTGTAATGAATGAATAATTTAGGTAGGATAGAAATAACACTACAAAATGAGTTGATTAAAACTGAAGAGAATAATCCTCAGTAATCTATTTAAATAAAAAAATTGTCACATTTGTGGGTTATGAAGATGACTCGAAGCCAGAACCAAATAGTGTAGTAATAAATAGTGCTTGTCGTGAGGCCAGCCAAATGTTGATCTTTCTTTGTTTACATTGTGTAATTGCTATGGACATCGAAATACCTGTGTATACAAGTTAAGCGTGTTCAAATTCAGCCATAATGCCAATATTGTGACACGAAACGCTAGTAAACCGTCCAGAGAAGACGCAAGTGTATCGATAAATATTCGTTGGCGGAATAATTAGTTGGTTGTTTGAATCATAGTCGGTACTTTGTTACAAGCGAGGTATTCCGATCGAATACGGGCGCGTTGCGGATTATCAATTTTTTCACTGGCTTAGAGTCACGTGGAACGACCAGAATATCGTCACATGACACGTACACGCGACGATTAACGAGCTGACCAATTAAAACGTACGAAATTCCACGACAATGCGCGATAATTAGTCGACGCTAACGCTCTGAAGTTGCTACCTCTGGCAACTCCGCTTCGATTTTCTCAAATACCTTTGACCACAACTGTGAATCGTAACAGTGAAAACTGAATCCTGCACAGAATTGCTACCGTGAGTTCTACAAACGAAAATTGTGCACGCATCGCGAACCAAATTGCGCCCAGAACTTTAGACGACGCGAAATATGCGAAGCTGATTAAATTATTAACCAATTATCCGAAACTACTAACATTTGTGTCCTTGAGAGGTTCGTCTAAATTTGTAGTCTCCCAAAATCACGGCACTTCAATTTTTGTTTTCGATTTAAAATTTGGTAGTTATATTTAGTTGTGTTCTTATAAACGAATTTTTGTCGAGTACGAGTAACTTGTTCCACATGTATAAAATTCACTAAATATTATTACGCGTTAATAAAGAAGAACTAAATGAAGAAGACAATGCTGATAGCTAAAGCAAATGTTACACGGTTGTTCTGACAAGAGATTTTTTCAGTAAAATTTGATTTATAAATAATACTCTCATTATATAACGGCAAACAAGATGGTGGTAAACCAAAAAATTGAACAAACTTTTGTTATGTCTAAGTATAGTTATTAAATCGAATAAATTATAATATTCAATAAATGTACAGGATATAGCATTTAAAAGATGTAAATCGATTTATTTATCACCTTTTGTAGCTTTTGCAAGCAGCAAAAGAAAATTTTGACAGTTATCGAGTTGATTTCGATTCAAACGATACGGGAGCATGTATTTCCTTTATGTGAACGTCAAATCTCAAATCATTCTATTTATTGGTTCCCGCGATGTTACGTCAACGAGCTTGAAAAATGTCGTTTCGAGAAAAACGGCTTTAAAGTGGAGTTCACAGAGAGTTTAAATCGAACTCTGATAACTTTTCCACGTTTCCGAATTTCGCTAAATTCTTTTCAAAATAATTCTATCAAGAATTATTTTAAGAATAACGAAACAATTTTGTTTAAATTAAGCAATAAATAATCCAATCTTTATTTTAGAGTTCACAATTACAAATTAGAATTCGATACTACTTAATCAGTTTTAAATAATTTTCTAAAGTCTAGTGATGTCCACCTACTTGATAAAAAACAAAGAAAAGAAGTGTTTCGAAATTGAAATCTTATATTTGTTTCTTCTTCTACTATACATTCAAAATTTGAAAAAATTTACAGAATCCCACCTTACAGAATTCTAATTTCTAAATAAAAAGATTCTTTAAACCCCTTCTCTAGCTTCTGAAACAACGAAAAATTGAATGAAATTCGCGATTTTCACGTATTCTCTCAAATTAATCATACATTCTCAAACATACATTCATTATTTATCTATTAGATATATTCCTCTACCAGTAAACCGGTTAATATGTAATCGTACAATCTGTTGTTTTCACGCTTAACGTAGGAATGCTAAACTCCTTCACACACAGAAGGGTGAAAAAGTTTCCTCGGAGAATGTACAAATTACACATTTAATCAACCCATTTGGACGCTAAAGCACGTCACGTGTTTGCACGCGAGCTGTGCCGCACGCTTCCAAGCCAGCCTTTCGATTAAAAGCCTCGGGGTTGAAGTCTCGAGTCCTTCTTCGAACTTCTAATAAAACCAGCTAAGCAACAAGCTCGTCTTCGCGACGTTAATTCCCTCCGAATTCCATCGACTTTCACGCTGCTAACTGATAACGATTCAAAAGGTGTCCGTCCGAGCGTCCTCTTAACTGAATTTAATCGGATGTGTTTAGACTTTTGATAGAATCGATGCGACATTGTCGCGTCGCGTGACAAGGCACTCCTGAAACTTCTAACTGGGCGGAGAGTTCGGTTTGTCGAAACGAAAGAAAGAGAGGCGGACAGACGCACACGTACACGTACAGAATGAAACAAGAGAAGCAGAAAAGAGGAATCGCATCCCCTCGTCGTATTTATCCGACTACGAACTTCCTCCGTCTGTTCTGCAGCTTTTGCACCCTGAAGCTTCCCTTGAAATAAAACTTCTTCTGCTGCCTCCTTCTCTTTCTCCCTTTGCTCCTCTACTTTCACTACTTTTGCGTTCTCCCACCTTTCTTCCTGAATCTTCGAGCACGATTCTTTCTTCCTCCGCCCCCTTCTCGAGGACCGTCACGGGCCCTCTTCTTTCCTATTTAACGCGTCTGCGTTTCCCTCCGCTTGTTTATAGTTTCGCGGTTTTTTATTTCATTTCTTCGACGCTCGAACGAATTCCCTTCGAGGTATTCGCGGATTTCTCGGCTCGTCATATTTCTATCTTTATACTTATTATAGTTATAGTTTTATGTTTATATATTTTGTTGTTTTTTCTAGACTCCAAATATTTTGTCGACAACACGAATGCAGTTACTTGGTAATATAGAATATTTAGTACTGTTATGACTAGACTATAGATATTACGCATTCATGGCGTACGCAAACATAAATAACATATGCTAAATGCATCCAGAATACGCAATTATACCAAACGAGATATTAGTATCGCTACGTTAATTTACGAAATATATTTTATATTTTGCATATGTTTTCCATAATGGCATCTATCATAAATGCTTAAAATTCGCAATCTAGCTATGACGGTTATTTAACAATACGTACTAAACAATGTTCAATTTTTGTGCGTTTGAATTGTAATACATATGGACGTTTATTTGTTCAAATCATAAAATTGAGATATTGGTCAGTTATACAGTTTTTATGAAGAATATAATTATATTTAATATGAACATTTAACGAGCACAATGTTACATTTTGGATGTTTCCCTTTCATGTTATCCCCCTTGCAAGAGTTGTGGTTTCAAAGCTTTGTCCTTAACTAATGACTTTATCATTAACGTCGTGATCCTGTCTTGGTACAGCCTTTGATATGGTTCTCTGCTTTCTGTAAACTTGTTAGTGTACATTTTTTTCTCTTCCTCTTTTGTAACTCTATTTTCTTTCTTATTCCTCCATCTACTTAACTGTACGCAGAGCAGTTTACAGATTTCCACGTTCCCTCTTTTCCTCCGTTGCGTTGGTAGAAATTTCTATTTCATAGGCTTATTGCGCAAAACTGCCTAAAGCGCGTTTTTCTTCCTTGAAGAAATACTACAAATTGAAGTTTCTGTTCATTATACAAATTTCCCGTTTCGAGGAACCATTCAATTTTAAAAAATTCACTCTTACAATTCAACCAGTATTTCTATTTTTCTTATAAAGAGTCAGCACTTTTTTGTCAAAATTGCTAATCAATCAACTAGAGGAGAGATTTGTAGGCGACACTACTTCAATAGGATTTTGATTAGATTAACAAAAATAATTATAATCTAGTTACTTGAGATTAGAAGGAAGATATTTTGTTGTGATGAATTAAATAACTTCTCTAGGAACTATGTCGATCAAAATATTTATTAGATATTTGGAATATTGGACTCTTTCCTGCATGCAGAACTTGCATTCAAGGTATATTAATAAATAGAAATAAATAAATCTATATTATTCAATTACATAAAAAAGCTTCACAACATGTATTGTATGTTATGAATTCGAAAACTCACGATATTTATATACGTAACTTTGTATTATGACACAACCGTCAATTTTAATATCATCCCTTACAAAGTGAGCGTTAACGAAACACGAATAAAACCGCACGCAAAATACACAGTAGCAACGTAAGGTTTATAGTCTCCGCGTGAAAAAAGCGACAAAACCACGTTCCACGCTGGAATACCCCGTTAAGAAGTTGAGCGAAACGACTGACCCAGTACGACTCGCGCGGAATGCTTTTTCGCCACACACAACAATAGTATTCCCTCGCATCCCGCGCATAAACGATTTGTCTATTCACCCATTCGTCACCCTCAACCGTTCGCTAGATTAAACCTTCCCAGTGGACACCCCCATCGCTCTCAATTTCCATACGTTTTATCAGACATTACTGCCCCGGCTTTTCGCGCTTCGATGTCACCCCTGTCTCCCTCCGACCCTTGGAGACGCATTCTTTTCCCTATCAATATTTTCTCTCCGAGA